ATGGGAAGAGCCTTTGTTCTTGGGTGTTTCCAAAAAAGGGACCCATTGTTTTTGCCATTGTATGAATAGCCCTTTGCCAGAACCTCCTCCCTAGGCAGCTGGTTCCTGTAACGTACTTATTCCTGCCAGGATTCGCATAGAGGGCATTTGTCCTCCTCCATGGGGCTGGGTCTCAGCCTTCAGCACAGCAGGAAGCAGTCACAGCAATGACAGATTGTGTTTTTACATCTAGTGCTGCTGATTCCCTCCCCCCATCACTAAACTGTTTCTCTTCCCTCTCCTGTTCCCTGCATGGCCAAGGCTGCAGCCCATCCCTCTTCTTTCCCAAACACCTCTGCTGTCTGTGGTTGACCTTCCTGCTCCTGTCTCTTGCAGACAAAGGATATATCCACAAAATGGTGGAGATGCCACATGGTGTCCTGAACATCATGGAGATCCAGCCCTTTCAGAACAGAGTTCCTGTCCAGTCCATGACCCTGGATCACATAAGGGTGAGCTCCTTTTTTTCTCTTAGCCAGGGCTGCCACAGAGAGGAGATGTTTGGAAGGCTGATCCCAATCTACTCTGTGGAAGAACGGATGTTAATTCCAGTGCAGCTGCAATGTTAGGTTGCAAGGGGATACTCCTGTCTTGTGTAGCATTTCTGTCTTGTTAGCTGTTAAACAGCTGCTGGAATCATGCCAGAAGTGGGGTAAGCAACCCCTTTGTGTGCACCTTTAGTAGCTTGTCTAAAGCTTCAGTAGTCTTCCTAATGGAAAGAGCCACATGGGGATAAACTGCTGGAGGAGACCAGGGGTTAGCATTCTGCCAGAGTCATCATTCTTTTCTGCTTTCTTCCTGCAGGCCAAGCTATACTTGGGCTCAGACACCGAGGTGGTCCAGGTGCCCATGGACATGTGCGAAATGTATGGCAACAGCTGTGATGAGTGTGTCCTGGCAAGGGACCCTTACTGCGGATGGAGAGCTGGGAAATGCACCTCCGTGTATGGCAACTGGTGTGTGTCACCTATGCACTCCTGCAGCATATATGTTTTATTGCTTGTTTCTGATATCAGCATTGGTTGCAATAAACCTGTAACCAGACCCTCCACACCTCTTTCCTTTCCAGTGCTCTCGCATATGTGGCATGTGCACACACTGCAACAGTGTCTCTTCCCCTTTCCTGTCCTTTGGCACTGGTGAATCCAGTGTCTAGGCAATGGCAGTTCTTGCACTTCCTTGCTGTTCCTTGTTCCATGTACCTTTTCCTTTTCCTAAAGAGACCATTAAAATACTTGTCTGGAGTCCAACACAGCTATGCACAACAATGCAGTCCAGCATCTTGGCAGAAGTGAAAGGGAACAATATCTACCCACCCTTGTGTCAGATTGTGTGATGCCCTTACTTGCCTGAGGTTGGACCCTCTCAGCTCAGCAACTCCATCATGGTCAGCGTAGCTCTGTTAAGGATCGTAGCTATTACCCAACAGGCACTTCCAGTGACTTCAAAAGGAACCCTGTTGTATAGCACTGTATTTGGTGGAAGTAAGAGATCACCAGCAGAGCTGATAGAAACTGGGCCAAGCAGTAGTATTAAATGAATCTCTGAGCATTTACACAGCCTGGCACTGGGTAGTCTCCAGTGGTTATAATTATGTTTTATCTGGTCTCACAGGTGAGAATAAAGCCATTTAGATTGAGCTGGCACAACTCTGTGTTAAACAACGTTAGTTTTGGGCCTGTCCATACTACCAAGAATTGTGTGCAATGTGAAGGCCTACCTCTTACTACTTAAATACTACTAGACTGGTGATAGTTAGGGGGTGGGTACAGCTTTCGCTGTCTCCTGATGGTCAGGAACAAAACCATGGAATTGGGGCTGCAGGATGGATCTCCTTCCTAATTCCTGCTCTTCATCATCGTTCCTATTTTGTTTTTATTTAGGTCGTTGCTACAAAATCTCTCTACAGAATCATCCCAGGAAGTATGCCCCAGCTACAAGAAGCAGGAAGGTATTCATGATTGGTGACTTTTATAGTTTTGCCACTTGTTTGAGGGAGGGGAGTAAAAGTGTGGGGTTGAGGACAGAGATGGAGTAGGTTAACATGGCTCGTTGTAGTTGTGTGCACCCCTTAATCAGGAGTCCATAATAAAGTTCTTCAACATCCCTGGTAGGACTGTATTTCTTGGGATGCACTTTCTCCACAAAGTTATCTGGGGCTCTCGCTCGGGTGTTGCCTCAACTCTGGACACACACAAGCCCCGCCCCTGAGCTTAATGGTACTGTATGACCAAGAGTAAGCAATGCTGTGCACTAGACACTTCCTCCCAACATGTTTTTTCTTTCAGGAGATAGCCGCGAGAGCTACCATAACGTCACAGTGGCAGTCTTCTCACGGTACTACCTTCGCTGCCCCGTGGAATCCCACTATGCTACATACAAGTGGTTTCACAATGACCACTGTGTCCAGACCTGCAACACCACCCACCGTCCCTGCATCCACTTCATTGAGAACGTGACCCAGGACCAGTACGGCTGCTACATTTGTGTGTCGGAGGAGGGCGGGTACACGCAGACTCTTGTGAAGGAATGCATGGTGAAACAACCAGAATTCATGAGGCTGCAATGGAATCGAGCCACCACAACTTCCTGCTGCTCCTTGATGCTGTTGATGGTTTTTGTCCTGCTGTTCTTCTTAAGGGACTGAGCTGTGTCCTCGCCTACACGTGATGACTCCCTTCTTGAGCTGCTGTTGAGCTCCTTGACTTCTGTCTTGCAATTCACCTGTAACAGAGATGCACTTCTTTCATTAGTTGCTCTTTGAACATTAATCTTAGTACTTTTCAGCCCTTTTCAATGGAGACTGAATATGGTAGCCCTCCTACCCTAGGGGGCTGCCCCTACAGTCTACACCCCTCCTCTCCATCCATGGCAGAACTGTGGAAGGGAGGACGTTTAACAAAGGACTTCCCTCTAGGTTCCATGTATGAAGGGAGATGATGTTCCCAAAGAGAGAGAGAGAGGAGGCAGCATGTGACCATCACTAGAAAGTAACAGAGTTATAGTCTGGGAAGGCAAGAGGGGCAGTGGGAAAATAAGCCAGGCAACAAGGAAGGTGGGTGGGAGGGGGGTGGGGGTTGGGAGAGGCAGCTTAGACAGGATGGGGAGGTGGGGCGGGAGGGACATTCAAGAAATAAGGATTTTTTATTATTATAATTATTACTATTTTACCATTATTTCTCTTGATTAAAACAAATGCTCTGTTGGAAAGGAAAGATCAGCCCAGTCAAAATGATAGAGGGAAGGGGCTTGTCCAGTCTTTCTCTGCTGAAGGGAAGATATAGTAATTTGATTGGGCAGTGATGTTTTTTAAGATGCCGTGGCAGGGCGAACCCAGCTGAGCCAAAATCAGACTCATTTTGGCTAGACAAGGGGATCTACTAGGAGCTGCTCCCTACAGAGCTTGAGAATGCAATAGATGAACTTTACTTATTCGCACAGCCAGGGCCATCATACTGGAGGACCCTCTTGTTGGCCATAGCATGAAGGACAAGGCTGGGGAATCTATCAGAACCACACAGCTTGGAGTGGTATCCACCTTGGCAAATGCTTTTCTTGTGATCTCATATCTTCTGCCACTCCTGACCTGGATAACGATTACAGGCCATTTTTTCTTGCTTAGCTACAGATCACTGTAGATGGCTCACTGAAGCCTGCTGCAAGCTTTATTGAACAGGAAAGTAGCTGCTGCCCATTTGGAGAAATGCATTTGAGTCAAATGAAGAATTAGAGGCAGGCCTGTGTAGCTGCTTCTGAGGGTGTGAGCAGCTCACTTATTTATGTGTGACTACCATAGCTGAGCACCTTGGAGTGTGAGAGCAGATCAGATGTGTGTGTAGTCACTGAGCATGCTTGGCTTCTGTCGGGTTTAGTGAATCACTTGTGTATTTTAAAGGCTGATCACCTGGAGGCTGAATGTGAATGCGCAAGTACTACTGAAGTACAGTAGGTCTCTGAGCCTTTCAAGTTTTTTGTCCCCACAGGTCATGAGCAATTGGACCTGTAGTCTTATTGGCCCATTCCAGAGAGACTACTGAGCCACAAAGGTCTGAACATTTCTCAGTGGGTCAGCTCCACGGGTCCAATCTCCTTTTAGTACTGTTATTGTGATTTATTGTTGTTTAATCTGTCTTAAGTTTGTATATAATGGACAAAGGATTGGGAATCAGCATGGCTGAGACCGTAGGTGGGGGGAAGGCCCTTGTAAATGATAGATGTAAGCCAACATGTAGCACTGAAAAGAGTCAGATGATGGAGAACGTGTGTGACTCCTCTCACATGGAGAGAGATGCACAAGAAGGGATTGGGAACAGATGAGTGTGGCGTAGATGGCTGGGGGAAGGGGACCCAACTGGAAACATCCCAGCTCTGAGCTCAAATCATGGCTTGTGTGCATATGAGTCCTTCCAAAGTTGCTAGCAGCTGCTGGGATTCATCTCAGGAGAAAATTTAGCCCCTGCTCCAAACTCTCTTAGACTACTTAAGGGAGTTCAGTGAAACTGCACTGAAACTTGCAGTTTCAGTGATAGAAGGAAAAAATAGGCCAGACTTTCACCTGATGTAACTCCACTGATTTATAGCTTATCCCAAGGCTGGATCTGGTCCTATGACATCCTCTTGCCATGGAGACATGTGTATGCTGGATTGCTACCAGCCTCCTGCCTGCAGACTGTCCCAAAGGTGATTTCCTCTCTGTGGTCAGGCTAAGTGTGACTCCTACTGTAAGGGAATGGGCAAAGCAACACATTTCAGTGAGGTTAAGAGGATACTCCCGATGTGTCTGCTGTTCTGGTAATTTTCCACATGTCCATTCTTATCCCATGGGAAATGAAAGCTAACTCAGGGCAGCTTTGCCGTGCTTCATTAAAGGCTAGGCTGCTTTGCTTTATTTTTTTCTTAGCACAGGATAAGAGCAGACATGCAGGCAGCTAATGTGGAATATTCTCTTACCTGGCTGTATCTTTTTTTTTTATTCCTTTGTCCATACCCAAAGACTAAACTGTGAAATAAGTGGCATTCTCCTTAACCTGTGGGGTATCATATATTAAGCAGAGCCTCTTATGAAACCAGGGCATTGCTTTGCCAACAGATAAGGAGTTAGTCCACTTCTTCTGCACTACATTTCCCGGTAATCCCAAGTCCTTTCTTCTGTCATTTTTAAACCAAGTTTGTGTTCATATCTTTGCTCAAAGCACTTTAATACCATGATTATCTTTAATTAATAAAAAACTTATTTATTATAATAGATTTGCTGTTAAAGTGGCAGTCACATTGTAGACCAGATTGCTTTTTGTTTTTGTTTTTTCAATAAAAGCCAAAATTTCTCAATAGAATGCAAAGTTGATCAGAGCAAGAGCTGAAGCATATCAGCTGTCTATTGAATCCCTATATGGTGTCCTTTGCCACGTCATGGAAAGTCTCTAATCGGCGATCGGCTTGCTGATTTCAAAACTGATGTGGAAGAGTGGGAGGGGACAACAGTGATAAGGATTTCTGATAAAGAGTACACTTACTTCTCAGAAAGCTGAAGTACCCGTGACACTTTCTGTTGGTTGGTTGTGGCCAAGGGTTCACTGTGGCCAAGGGTTTGCTAAGGAGTAAAAAGAGAAATGGGGTGATGTGGATGTGAGATCCTCTGCAGTTCAGAGAAAATGTTTTAACCACAGGTATGTGTTCAAAGAAGGTAAGGGCTGAGGTTGCCTATAGATGTGCTCCACTGTGTCCTAATTGGAACACATCGGAGAAGACTCAATTAACTGAATCTGCTCTGCGTTTTTAATTAAAACGCTCTAGCATTGCATCGGGGTCACATGTATTAAGCCCCTGTGGATTTAAAAATGGCCATTGGGGAGCTTTAACAAGCTCGTCAAATGAGCTTTAGTTAAAGCATCCCACGGCCATTTTTAAATGTGCAGCGGCTTAATACACGTGACATTGCAGTGTTTTAATTACTGTGACTCTCCCGGAACCACTTTAAAACACCCCACCCTTGAGCACATGTATAGGCACCCTGAGTGACTTGAGAGAAGCTAAACTGCCTGCACATCAGGTCTCAGGGTTTGAAGGGAGTGTCTGCAGTCAAAGAGGTACTTCTACTGGAAAAAGGATTGAGAATGGATGGAAGGTGCTCGCTCTGAGCCCAGAGTAGCTTCAACAGGCTTCTCATATGGGTGCTTCACATCAGGCTGCTACCTCCTGCCAGGGAGGCCCAGGAGGGAAGGAGAGAGCCCTTCGCTCCTTTGATGGTGAGTGAGGAGGATGACATTTAATTAAAATGGTGATATGGAGCCCTCTCCACTAGCCATAGTGCTGAGAACAGTAGCTCATCCCAAATGGGCCATCGCCTGGGGATGGGCTATGGTCCCTAATGAGCTGGGCTCACCATGTGATCCAGAGGTGAAAAGCTCTACCTGCTGTTGTCAACCCCAAGCTGTGCACAACCTCAGTCTCTGCATGGGTGTTTCTTGCTCAGGTCCCAATCCAGGAAGGCACAAAAGCAATCCCCACACTGAAACTCCTCTGTGCTTAAAAGGTAAATCCAGGCCTAACTGTTTAGGGTGTGAGTGTTTAGTGTCTTGTGAAATAAAGTCCCTAGAGCAGTGGTTCTCAACCTTTTTTAAACACAAGGCCTCCCTTGGAAAATGCCAGCTCTTAGTTAGCACTTCATTTTTTGACTACAGAAAAATAACAGAGCTTTTCATATAGCAATGGCTGTGGAGCACTGTTTGAGAGCATTTAGACTTCTGTGTATCAATCATTTGGGGCTGGCAGTGCCTCCATTGCTTGGCATTGTGCACACCTGATTGGGACCATGTGGACAGAGCATTGAGTGTGGACTAGGGAGACGTAGTGTTGGAGCCTTGTAGCTGACCTTGCATCCATTGCTTTGCCTTGCTGTGTTTCTACTTCCTCGCTGGTCAAATGGGAAAATGACTATTGACCTCTTTGATAAAGCACTTGGATGCCTCCTGATGGAAAGTGCTGTATAAAAGCCAGGTATCCTTATCAGACTAAGTAAAATGGGTAATTTTTTCCCCTCTTGATTCAACTAGCTTGACTTTTTAACCTTGTATGACTTGAACACCTCCCTGCCCACTACTTGGCAGCTCCACGGACATAGTCTCTGAGGTATCTGACTCAGTGTGATGCTTTTTGAGGTTGTAGTATAGTGGTTCTCAACCTTTTAAAAGCAATATATACCCCTCAAAGTGCCAGCTGTTAGTTTTCACTCATTTTTTGGCTATGGAAAAAGATTGCCATATTCTTTCTTTGGCAAAGGACTCAGACCACACCAGGGCAGACTTTTAACACTCTGGATTGTTGCTTGAAATTGTTGGGATTATCCTGTGCTGCACACCTAACAGCACTTTCTCTTGGCACTGATGTCCAGTTCAGTGGTTTCTTATCATCTGCTCCCTTTCCTGAGGTGTCATCCTTGAACTTGCTAGTCTGGGTCTTGGTCCTTGTGGTCTTGGTCCCTGTAGCTGCAGTCCAGTTTAGGCTTTATTCAAGTATGGATTAATACAACCACTAGTCAGCACGGCCTATGCAATTTGTATATGCACTAGCAGCATGAGCTGAATGCATACTGTATACAGTATTACCAACCCCACTGGGTCAAAAATCAAGAGACAAACTCTTAAAAGCAAGAGATTTGGTATGTAAATCATAAGATGCTCAGTTCTAACCTCCTCTCCCCCTGGCTCCTCCTGCATGTGCCCTGAGCAGCAACCTCTTTCTTCCCCCACCTCCCATTGTGGCCCTGGGCTCGGTGCTGACCTGGTGGGGCTCCCTGCACCCCCCGCCACACGCACACAGCTGGGCCCTGCCTGAGCTCCTGGGGACTTTGTGGCCAATTCCAGCCCAGTTGGACTCTGCCTTGGGCCCACCCCAAACTTTGGCCCCACTTGGCCCAGCCACAGAAGTCTACAAATCTCATGTGAGACACACCAGAAGAAAAAGTCCCGAGATTTGAGAGTTCTATCGCGAGATCATGAGTCAGACTTAATTTTACTTAGAAATCGCAACTCTTGCGATAATTTTGCAAGAGTTGGCATTACTGCATATATGACTTGCACAGATGTGCTAAGAAGGTAGCCCATTAGTTTCAGAGGTTCTTCCAAGGCCAAAAGATAGAATGAATTGATGAGATTTGGTCTAGACCACCAAACAAAGAGCCAAGTGACCTGGAAAACAGGTATCTGTATCTGCTGGGAAGGTTGCATTAATTGGAGAGAAGCAGGATGTGGGTAATGTCACCTAAAGATGTGTCAGTAATTAATGAGAACTAGGATATGTTTGCTGCAAATACACAGTTGTTTTGATCAGGGCATAGAGGGGAACTTGGGCTTAGGGGTTATGTTCATGTCTGTACCATGCCTGCAAATGATCTGGCTAGCACTGCATATCAGTTGGCCATGGATGCTAGTGTCTAGACTCATTCATAGATAATAAACCTGGCTGAATTTTTGTCATTAAGAACTGAAGCCTGTGGTCTCTTCCTTTGGCATAAGAAGCTCGTTAGGGGCATTGCATCAAAGACAATATCCTGACAGCACATGTGCAGACCATCCAAATCAAGGGAGCCTAATGTGACTGGTAACATCTAACCCCCAGACAATTCTACTGGAGTCTGATAGCAACACTGATGGAGGCCTACAGCTAATATTTTAATGTTAGTCTCTGAGCTGGGCATGTGCAGAGATGCTGCATCTTTGGTTTTCATTTTCATACAGAATCAGACTGGGATTTCTTCCTGACCAGAGGAGAAGGTTGCTGATCATTGAAGCTGTGAGCCAATAAGAGTGCTGAACTGGCCCATAGTCATTGCTAGGCAAGCTCCAGCCTAGCAGTGGGTAGATGGCAAGAAAAGAACAACTGTCTAAGGAGATCTGGGAGAGAATAGTAGGATGCTCCTGGAGGACTAACAACCATCAAATGCTGTTCCATAGTGCCAACCTCCATGCTATTGAGCAGTCATATTAGCAGCAGACAAGCTATCTTCTTGAGCTTTAGTCTATACCTCCAGCCATTCCAGTTTATTGTACTGGATGCCTGAGGTCAAGATTTGTGTATAGATGAAGGTCCATAGAATCAAAGTTAGGGTTGGAAGGGAACTCAGGAGGTCACATCTAGTCCAACCCCCTGCTCAAAGCAAGGCCATACCCAACTAGATCATCCCAGCCAAAGCTTTGTTTAACTGGGTTCTGAAAACATCCAAGGATGGAGCTGCTATCATCTCCACGGGTAACTGGTTCCAGTGTTTTACTACCCTCCTAGTGAGAAAATTCTTCCTAATATCCAAGCCAGAGGTGGGCAATTATTTCAGGTGGAGGGGTCGCTTACTGAATTTTGGCCAGCCATCGAGGGCCGCATGACAGGCAGCCAGGGGCAGATAAATACTAATTTTCTAAATTTTTTAGGGGCCCCGCGGGCTGGATAGAATGGCCTGGCAGGCTGCATGCGGCCCGCAGGCTGCATTTTGCTCACCCCTGATCTAACCTAAACTTTCCTTGCTGCAACTTCAAACCATTGTTCCTTGTTCTGTCATCTGCCACCACTCAAAACAGTCCAGCTCCATCCTCTTTTGAACCTTCCTTCAGGTAGTTGAAGGCTGCTATTAAATCCCTTCTCAGTTTTCTCTTCTCTAGCCTAAATTCCCTCAGTTCCCTCAGTTTCTGTTCATAAATCATGTGCCCCAGTCTCCAAGCCATTTTTGTTGCCCTCTGCTGAACTCTCTCCAATTTGTCCACATCCTTTCTGTAGTGGGGGGCCCAAAACCGAACACAGTACTCCAGATGTGGCCTCACCAGTGCTGAATAGAGGGGAATACTCACTTCCCTTGACCTGCTGGCAACACACCTACCAGTGCAGCCCAGTATGTCATCGGCTTTCTTGGCAACAAGGTCACACTGCTGGCCCATGTTCAGCTTTTTGTCCACTATAACCCCCAGGTCCTTTTCTGCAGCGCTGCCGCCCAGCCAGCCAGCCCCCAGCCTGTACCAGTGCATAGGATTGTTTTGTCCTAAGTGCAGGACTTTGCATGTGTCCTTGTTGAACCTCATGGGATTTCTTTTGGCCCGATCCTCCAATTTGTCTCAGTCAATCTGAATCCTAGCCCTACCCTCCAGCATATCTACTACTTCTCCCAGCTTGGTGTCATCTGCAGACTTGCTGAGGGTGCACTCAATGCCATCTTCCAGATTATTGATGAGGACATTGAACTAAACTGGCCCCAGAACCAACCCTTGGGGCACTCCACTTGATACTGGCTGCCAACTAGACATCGAGTCATTGATTACTACTTTCTGAACCTGATGCTCCAACCAGTTTTCTATCCACCTCATAGTCCATTCATCCAGCCCATACTTCCTTAGCTTGCCTGCAAGAATGTTGTGGTAGTCTGTATCAAAAGCCTTGCTAAAATCATGGTACACCACATCCACTGGTCCCCTCATCCACAGAGCCAGTCACCTCATCACAGAAGGTGATCAGGGTGGTCAGGCATGACTTGCCCCTGGTGAATCCCTGCTGACTGTTCCTAATCTCCTTTTTCTCCAAGTGCTTAGAAATGAATCCTAGAGGATCTGCTCCATGATTTTTCCAGGGACTGAGGTGAGGCTGACTGGTCTGTAGTTCCTTGGCTCCTCCTTCTTCCACTTCTTAAATATGGGCATTGTGTTTTCCCTTTTCCAATCATCCGGGACCTCTCCTGATCGCCATGAGTTTTCAAAGATGATGTCTAATGGCTCTGCAGTCTCATCAGCCAACTCCCTCAGGACTCTCAGGTGCATCCCATCCGGCCCCATGGACTTGTACACATCCAGCTTTTCTAAGTAGTCCCTAACCTGTTTTTTCACTGCTGAGGGCTGCTCACCTCCTCTCCAAACTGTACTGCCTGGTACACTAGTTTGGGAACTGGCCTTGCCTATGAAGACTGAGGCAAAAAATGCATTGAGCATGTCAGCCTTTTCTATATCCTTGGTCACAAAGTTGCCTCCCCCATTCAGTAAGGGACTTGCACTTTCCCTGATCCTCCTCTTGTTTCTGACATACTTGTAGAAACCCTTTTTGTTACCCTTCACATCCCTTGCTAGTTGCAATTCCAATTGCCCTTTCCTGACTTCATCCCTGCATGCCCGAGCAATGCTCTTATATTCCCTACTTATTTGTCCAAGTTTCCACTTCCTATAAGCTTCCTTTTTGTGATTTAGTTTACTGAAGAGTTTCCTGCTAAGCCAAGCAAGTATGGCAGAAAACCAGCTAGTCTTCCTGTGCATTAGGATGGTTTGCTCCTGCACTTTCAGTAAGGCTTCTGTGAAGTACAGCCAGCTCTCCTGGACTCCTCTCCCCCTCAGTTTGGCTTCCCAGGGGATCCTGCCCATGAGTTCCCTGAGAGAGTCGAAGTTTGCTTTCCTGAAGTCCAGAGTCCTTCAGCTGCTGCTCCCCATCCTTCCTTTCCTCAGGATCCTGAACTCAATAATCATCCCATGGTCGCTGCTGCCCAAGTTGCTACATCCACTACTACATTCCCCACCAATTCTTCCCTGTTTGTGAGCAGCAGGTCAAGAAGAGTACGGCCCCTAGCTGGCTGCTCCAGCACTTGCACAAGGAAGGCCAGGTAAGAGGAAAAGCCAAAATTGTTAACACCCCTCAGTTAAAACATGTTAATAGCTTACCTGTCTACATCTAGACCCTTATAGTTAAAATGGGTTAAAGCTAATGCCAATTTAAAAGGTACCTTTTTCCTGATGGCGATCAGCCCTATGGGTTGAAACATCTTTAAGTCACTTTTGTTTCATCCATTTCACTCCATCTCAGAAAGCACCTTTAGAGAGGTCTCAAGACTCAGCAGAATGGAAGCAAAGATTGCTTCCAGTGATGCTCCTGCACCTCCCCAGATCTTCCTGGGGTGGCATCAGAGAAAATTTAGCCCCAAGAATGTGTGCAGACAAGAACTGGAGAGCTTTCTGTCTAGTTTGTCACTGGGGGGATCCTCTCCTGTGCAGATTGAAACAAGAGGGGGAAATTTAATGTTGTATTTATTTTGTTCAAAACTTTCCTCCTGAAATTCAGTATTTCAGAACTGATTGCCCTATGCAGAGGACATGAAGAAGCCTAGTGCTCTAGCAATCTCACAATAGGGCTCCACCAAAGAACTGGAACAGAGACTGAGATCAACTGCAGTACTGCAAGATAATGACTGATTTCCTTGTATCACTTTTAGGGTTGTGATCCTGGCACTGCATCTGTGTGATCAGGTGCCAGCATTGAGCTTTAAAGCTCAATTAGGTCCTTTTGTAAAATCAAAGCCCTGCCACTTATGTGTTCACTGTGATATAGAAAATGCCTTTTAAAACAAAATACAATTTAAAAACTGCCATAATAATGAAACCAGACATGATCTCATCTTAGACCAAGTTTCTTTTGCTTGCAAAATAAACATATGATTAACAAATTAAAAAGAAAGCAGGGGAAATGTTGCGCGGGGAGGAATGAATTCAAGTTTATAAAACAATCAGACACAAAACCAAAATCGGTCCATTGGGAGATTAAAATCTATTGAAAATAACTTGCTCATATTCTTTGAACAAAGGCAGGAATCGTAAGGGGTTTGCACCCTAAGAACAGCAATATGTGCAAAGCTGTTTAAAGGTGCTTTATGGTTAAAACACTGTTTGTGGGAGTATGTGCATTCAACTTTTGCTGACCCCAGTGGTGTTTTTTGAGGTGTATGTGTAGCTGCAGATCAAATCTATACCCAAGAAGTTTGAGTTGCTTAAGGTTGTCACTTGGGTTGCTAGCATCATCACAAACTAACTTACTAGTTTTCTTTTAAAGTCCTTGTGGAACTTCTTAAAGAAAGCATGCCATCCATATAAGATGTGTCTCATTTGGTAGAGAAACACGGAGAGGCCTCCTGGGCTTGGTTCTGTATAAATATACCAAGGAAATCCTATTTAACTTTATGCATTTAATTGGCACTTCTGGAGCTATACAAATGGCTTTTTTTTTTGGCTTTTATGCTAGTGGCTGGAAAGCTGTACAAGTATGGGACAACCTGGGCACCAGTCGTGGCTTCTCCCTTAAGAGGGGCACAAGAAAGGCAGCTGCTGCCACTACTGGCCCAGGGTCCCTGTTTCCACCTGTGACAGAATAGGATAGTTCAGGTTCATGTGAAATAAAGAAGGAAACAAGCAGAGTGGCTGAGTGGTTAGGGTGCCTGCTCAGGGGTTGGGAGACTTAGGTGTGTGCAGACCTCTGCTAACTTCATACTCTAAAGAGACTAGGCATTGTCCAAAGTCCTCTCCATCCCCCCCTCATGAAGCTGGCCTGCTAGACAGCCCGGAGGCAAAGATATATGCTCTGACAGGGAGGGAAATGTAGGTTTGCGGGGAATGTCTTCCTTTTTCAAGGACAGTGGTATGATTCTTCTGAGGGGCTCTATTCTGGGCAGAATCTACTAGGAATAGGGCATCTCATTTCCTCTGTCGGTGCTTTGATTTCCCTGTCTGTAAAATGGCTGTAGTGATGGGTGCCTGCCTTCTCAAAAGTATTTTGAGATCAATGGCCAAAAAGTGCTCAGTCCATTCCAGAAGCAATGATTCCTTCCCCCTGCAGGTATAGATAGAGGCATGCCCTAGGGAATAAACCTTTTTCATTATGATAATTGTTTAATTAGCAAGAGACCAATTAGAAGAGAGACCAGTGCTGGACCAGAGGTTCTTCCCTTTGACACCAGCGTGAAACAGGCCTCTAGAGCCAGGTGTTCTGATGAAGAAGTAGTGAGATCTATCCTAAAAGCATTCACAATGACTGGGTTCAAGGGGTCTTTGGAGGTAGGCTGAGGATTACACCCAGCAAAGCACTTTAGGGGCCACTGATACAAGGGCAGAAGCTGCTGCAGTCCTTAAAACTGTTTTAGCCTGTGCTGGGAACTGGCAAGAAAGAGGCACTTTTTCTCTCTCCTTGCACTGGCCAGCCAGGAGTGCTGATCTTAGCTGTGAGCCTGACCTGGGGCAAGTTTCACCTGCATGTGTTCCTCCTTGAAAGGGGTGGTGTAGTAATAAACCCTAATAGTTAATAGTCATCACACAGGGCCAGGGGAAATGGTGAATGTGTGCATCAGTGAGAGCACTGAAGTCATCAGGTGCATTTAAAAAAAGACCCTGGCACACTTTTGAGTCAGATTGATTCAGCCTGTGCCAGAAACTCTCGCCTCTGCAAGAAACTGGGGATATGGCAATGAGTCAACTGTGATATACCAGGTGTAATGCTATAGCACAGTCAGTTAATACAATCCTTCTTTTGGTCATGTGTCATCTAGGATTGGAGGAAGCTGTTTGTATTGAGGGTTAGCTTGGTTTCACACCTGTGTGAGAAAGGGGCACCTTTTGTTTCCTGCCCTCATTGAGGAGGTGTCCCAATGAAATATATTAGCCATTTCCAAGATCTATTGCAATATCCTGTTGTAAGAGCAACTTCAGTCTCCAGAAAAAAGGATTTTTCCTGGCTAGGAGAGAAAAAGGAAATGTGTGCTGTCCAGGGATCGATTAAGATTCACTGGGGCCCAGGGGCTCTTCCCGTGGCCTGGAGCCCCCCTTGACTTGCGCTCTGCCCCACAACCGTGGGCCCCATCCCTGGCTGGTGCAGCAGGAGCAGCGGTCAGAGCAGGATGTGCTGGCCTACTGGGCTCGGGGCAGGACCTGTGGCCACCCGGCCTGCAGGTCTGCATTGGAGCCGGCACCAGGAGTGTGGAGCAACTGCCCGCTGGGTGCACGTGGCATGGACAGAGCTCTGGGGGCGGCCCCTCGGCCCTCCACGGCTTAGACCAGCTGCTGCAGCACCTGGCAGCCACATCCCTCCACGTCACACATGGCCAGCATGGCCACTGGTTTCATCCGCAACAAAGCAGGGCCCCCCGTTCATTAATCCGCTTATGGTGCTGTCAGCCTGCTACTTCAGAAAAAGGTACACTTGCTCTGGTGCTGGGGACAGGGCTTCCAGTGTCATTGAGCCTTGCAGAGATCTGGGGTTGTCTGCTGGGGTTCAGCATTGGTCCTTATCTGCTTAGATTCAGGAGACTGTTATGAGCCTGAGTTTTACTGGCAGGAGACAACAAAGACTGAATACTGGATGCATGACCTGATGCCGTGCAGCCTGTTTGGTGTCAACTGGCACTTTTCCACTGGGAGCCAAGACTTTTGGGGCCAATGGAGTTACGGTAAATTACGCCTAGAGGGGAGCTGCCCAGTAATATTTATAGTAATGATAGTCATTTGCATGTCTCTCGTGCCTTTTATTTGGGAGGCTTCTGGTGTGCTTTATCTACTGTGTATAGGAGCAGGCTGAAATGCAGCCAGTTTTGGTGTGAAGTGCAGCTGTCATTAAATAACTGTGGCCTTGCAACAGATGAGCACCTGTGATGAAGGAAGAATACAGGGTCCATTTGAAAAGGCAGTGAGGATTTAGGGAGGAAGGGAGCAGTTTGACCAGGATACTGGCACTGACTGTTAGATAACACTAGAGTCCCTGTGCCCCTGACTTAATTGTTAAGGATTCTGCATAACTTTGTCTCAACTAGGCGTCCGCTTTAAGCAGGCCTCTGTCTCCCTCCCGTGTTTCCCCTCCTTCTCCTCCTCCCTAGTTTAACAAGATCTCAGCTTCTAAGCAAGTTCCACTACCTCCCTGTCCTTTCCTAAAAGGTTGCAAGCACCAAAGTAATATAGTATTAGGCTCTGTTGGGCTGCCAAAAAAATATAACAAGCAGGGAGTTTCAAAGACCTTGTGGATCGTAGCTAAACAATAAGAACTCGCATAACATGGCTTCCAATTTTATTTTATTTTTTTAGAAAAAGGTTTAAAGGAAGGGTTAGCAAAAGAAAACAATTAATTGGTTCATATATCAAAGTAGGTAGATAGAGTACACCTGCATGCTTATCTAGGAAATCCCTGATGAATTATTTCTTTGTTTATAAGAAATCCAATTAACTCTGACTGGTGCCTGTACTTAGTTAATGCATGACAAAGATATAAATGCAACTGTTTTATCACACACTAAACATTTCATCCCTGTGCCCTTCTCTGCCAGCCCATCTAATCAGCTGGCTAACAGTAATTAAGGACCCTTGAGTTAGATTCACTGTGTGTTTTTTGTAAGCTTAATTAGAAGATGTAAAAAATTAAGGTAATTTTATTCGGCTTTGTAGAGTTGGAAGGCTATATAGGACTTTGCCCATGGTAGCTACGTGGGTCCATAGCTGGCGTTAACATAATGCAATCTAAGATGTGCAGTTAGGCATGTAGCTCAGTGTCAGCCTGGGGCAAATGGGTTAAGAAGTTTCAGTGTGATGCTTTGGAGGAAAGAGAAACAGGAGCTTGTATATAGTAATCACCTTGGTAGAAAGTTGGAAAATATTTTTAGATTATGGTTTTAGCGTGCAGTGAACAGTAGCTTGGGTGGGGGAATATTCAAAGGAATCAACAGTCTAATCTTTGTAAAGCAACGGTGTGGCTGGGGGGGGGGGCAAGGGTCAGGCCATCCTGTCGACTCCCACTTCTGGTGACTATTCTTTGGGTATCTTCACACTTGTGGTGGCCCTTGATGATGTTCAGCATAGATTTGTCTTGACTACCAGGTGCCATCAGACACTAGGAAGCACGTCATCAGTTCTTAGGTACTCTCCAGGCTTGCAGGATGTCCTCATTGCTCAGGTCCAAGTACCCCAATGATTAATGCCTGAACCATCACATTATACCCCATCTCCCTCAGGGTGCCATCCAGTAGCAGTAGTACTGCACACACAGCAGTGTAGCTCCATGCACAGGGCAGTCG